TAAGAGAAAAGAATGGAAGGCCTCGTCATAAGAAAATGCTGTAACACGTGAAGCTCTTTACTTGTAACAACATGAATGGATGATTATGATGTTTAATAAATGTAAGGTCAGTTGCTTGTAACAACATGAGGAAGGAGAATTCTGTCATAGGCTACCCAAAAATATTCAGCATGCTGGTCCATAAAATGTATGTAGTTTATACCATTGGAAATTAATTTAAACTCATTATTCAAAATACCTGTCATTCAAGCATTGGTATTTCTGCCTGGGGAATTTAAAGCCTGAATATTTGAGGACTTACTTTACTGTTATACTTTCAGAGACCTGGTAGCAGAATTGCCTTTTATCCTGATGCATCCAAAACCAGAGGAGGATCCCCCCTTACCCATCACCACACGCCCATCACCTTCGCATGAACCTAGAAACACGGAAGGTGATGATGGTGTAGCTGTTGATACAAATCTGATTCAGCTGGACACGTGAGTGATTTGGCTAACAAAACTCAACTAATTTGATTTTTCATATTGTACAGAAGAATGCCGCTTATTGGGGACTGCATGTTTATGGCACCTTATTCAATATCTTTGTTTTATGAAGCAAACAATTTCTTGATGGATCCCAATGAGTCAGTGTATCCCGGGAATACCTTGATCAGAGCTGGCCAGTACTTACGATTCTTGCTTTGTTGCTTGTGATTTATTTGTGTGACACTGCATTGCAGTATGTGTGAATTTTAGCACTCCCTGATCATTTTCTGTGAGCTTAGCAGAATGAGGGTTGAGTTCTGTCATTAAAAGTAGAAAGCAATAGGAGATTGTGGATTGAATTGATGCCTACTTTCCTTTTATATAGACTTCCAGTCTTACAGATTGTATGTTTGAATATTATATTTAGTTAATAATTTATAATCAAGCAATGAAGTGCAATTTAGCTTATGGGTTGGCATGCTGAGTTCAGGTGCAATTGTTTTTTGATTGCCTGCAATTATGAACAAGTTACAGGATGTGGTGGTGATGTTTGTGGTTTTATTGTTGTTGTTTTTTATGTTTTGAAAGGAACCTGGTAGTCACTTACGGATTCTGACTCTGTTAAATTTGTGGAATATAACCTAAAAATTTTGCACCATTGTCATGTATGTAATTGTGGACTTCTGATTAACAGTTTGTACATATTTTTATTGTCAGTGAACAATATAAATGGCTCATTGAAATACAGACATGACAATGTATTGAACTGGAAGTAGTAAATGGGATTTTAATATAAATGTAAGTAAAAATGGTTCCATTACAGCAATATGGAATAATATATATGAAGGCCACATATTTGGTAAATATGTAACATCACAGATTTCATCTGTGCACAAGTGTTATCACCTTCTTTATATGGAACAGTTTTGTGTTTTCTAATACCATACCACACCCTCTGACAGTATATAATGAAAGGCAGTGGATGCACGCTGATTGTTGCAAACTGAACATACTTCTCTTAGAGTGTGTATGTTCTTAACTCTTTTTGTATCACATTTGCTCAGTCTGGCTTATCTCTAAAATAATTATATTGCTTAGCACACTTCAGAAGCATGGAAAAATTGTATTTAAACCAAAGAATTTGTTTGCAGTAACATTGAAAAACATTACATGTAATATCTTAAAGACTAGCGTAGGATGCCCAAAGGTAATGTTACCATTGCACTAAGTTCATGAGATGACATACATGCTTGTCACTAAGTATGTCAGATGGTACTTGGGGGTAAATATACTGCAATAATCCAGCATATGAGGATAAAGTGGTCTACAGAAGTAATATCTTATTTTCAGTGATGGAGTCGTGTGCCCAGATCAGGATGATGACATTATTTTTGAGGACTTTGCTCGTTTACGACTGAAAGGGGGCGAGACAGAAGCCTGAGTGTGGGGGCCTGGTGCCAGAAGAAGGGCTGTTTCTTCTGCTAAGCCACTTCGTACTGAAGTCTACATTACGTGGGAGTAGTATGGAGGTAACTACCAATCAGGGCTCAAAATTCAACAGCCAGACAACATACTGATCATTGCTTGTTAACAGAACAATGACAGGAATATTCTTGAAGCTATTTAGTCATGTGTTTTGCAGATAGTTTCATAGAAGTGTTCATAAACTTGAAAGATGATTTGGTTTTATTAGTGGGGTGGGAATTTCAGCAATCTGGTGTTTTTCTCTGCCATATATACTAAGATATATATTAAGAGAATGTACAGTGAACACTTCAGTTTTGCATTCACAAATTAAGTGGAAATACAAATAGTTTTAAATATTATATTTGTAGAGCTTTGAAGATAATATTTATTTCAACTAGATCAATTATATCCCTCTTTAATAAAGTCTTCTCGGGCTATCAGCCGTGTTAGATGTTGATTAATCGCCGACGTTTCGAGGACCATCTCTGTCCTCATTTTGAAGGCTGTTGTTGACTGTGGCTCATAGAGCGAACTGTTAAAAGCCTTGAAAATGAGGACAGAGATGGTCCTTGAAACGTCGGCGATTAATCAACATCTAACACGGCTGATAGCCCGAGAAGACTTTATTAATGAAAGCCGCCATGAAAGCTTCACATCATATATATCCCTCTTGCTTGGTAACATTTATGCTTCTTGTGTAGCATAGAAAGTATGCTGAGTTGTATATGTATGGTATTGTACTGTATTGTATTTGTGATGTGATAATTTCTGAGTGTGTAATACATTTCACTTTCATTTTTACACTAAATACAGAGGTGCCAATTTTAGTCATTTGGGTAATGCCAGTGTCTTAATTTCGTAATCTTATGCAAGAAGAACTATGTTTATGATTAATTTGAACTTTCATAGGTAAAATATGTAGGTGGTTGAAATTTTACCTGGAATTTTAATCATAACAAGCCAATATATTGTCTAGCTTGTTTCGTATTAGGAAGTCTTCTCAAGGTGCTCTCCCTTTATGTGTACACACTTGTCCCATACCATGAAATGACTGTGTAAAAATGACACTGATCCATGTTGTTTACAGAAACAAAGTTCTGGGTCAGATTTCAGTTACCCCTACAACTAATTTTAATTAGAAATGGCTATGAAAGTCTGTTAAATGTTAATAGCTTCACTGTTATAATCTGATTGAATGTCTTCACATCGTTTCTTCGGGAGGGCTACAACTGACTCTTTGTTGACATTATTCTGTTAACAAGACTGCAATCCTCCCTTGCTGTTACAGTATATGTTTGATGGATTATGCTTCCAATATTGTCCCTGGAATACAATGGAAGTACATACTCTTACATCATTGGTGCAGAGCATATACTGAGTTCACATTGAAGGTGTTACTAACGTTGTTTATAGTCTGGTCATAGTAGCTCAGTCAATAAGGTGACTGACTAGGCCCTACCCAGGCTGCTGTCCAGTGAATACTGGGTGATCTTTCCCAAGGAGTAATGTGGCTAAAGTGTGAATTGACCAATTGCCTCCAACCAGTGCTGAGGTATAGAATTCATGGAGCTTTGCCTCCACACTCCCTATACAAGTTTACAGTGATGTGCTTAGGCACATGGGGAACTTTTGTATATTGGCACCTCTGGAATTAAAATGATTGTCCTGTAATTTGCAGTGCAAAGGGACACTGGCCTATATCAAATGAAGTTTGTGTAAGGAAGTAATTTTGAGCCCTGACATGTGGCAATAAGTTTTAGGGTCGTGACAGTGACATTGGATGGTATGTTTGCACTTTGAGTAGTGCTTGTGTCCCTACAGACAGTATTGCCAATGAACTGAAAATATTCCTTGCTGATAATCGAATGGGAGAAGAAAGATGCAGAAAAGGAGGTTAATATTTTAATGGATAAAGGTAGTGAAATATATATATATTTAAGGGTGATACTAGGAGAATTTTGGTGTCACTATGTGATGAATGTATTTTGATCATCCAATATATTATTCACTTATTTATGATTATGTGTAAGAAATTGAAAACTTCTTTCTTTATGCATTTTATTATTTGCATTTTTATACTGCAAAGTTTGCAACTTTTATGGACAGTTCAAGCACAACAAAATTCAGGCATATGGGTGGATATTCATGGCCAATGACTTATAATTTCACATAAATTCAATAACTAACCTCTTCATTAGTTCCACTTCTGTCTGATGGATAGACAGAACACTACTTAGGATATTAGGTTCTGGCAGGGGTAAGTACAAAGATGGCTGTCTTCGAAACCCCTAGTCTTTTGGGCCCTCTGATTGAGCTAGTCTCGGTTTTGTACTAGCTTGATCAAGGGACTCAACAGGTTGGTATTTTATCCTCTCATCATTCACCTAAGGAGCGAATTAGAACCAACTTTTGAAATGTCATGATTTTAAATTAAAACATTTTGATGATGGATAAAATTAAACATAATGAAGATGGCTGTATGCTGGGTTGTAGTGCCATGGTACTCTGGTAGATGTTTACCAACATTTCAGAGGTCCATGCTGCCTCCATCATCATGACAGTCCTACAACCCAGAAGACAGCCATTTGCATACTCACTACCAGGAGAACCTCATATCCTACTTCTAACAGAGTGGTTTACACATTGTGTTACATCATCACACAGGTTATACCATTATACCAGCATATTGTAAACAGGCAGCTGTATAATAAGTCAGAATTATACCTTGCACTGTCTGCAGTGTTGTAAATCATGATGAAACTTTACATTGCTTGTTCTGTTGGAGATATTTCAGGTTCTCTTGGCAGTGAGTATGAAGATGACTGTCTTTTGGGGTGTTGCACTGTGTAGTCTTTTACCAGACTACACAGAGCAACACCCCAGAAGACAGTCATATTCAAAGACATTTTTAATTTTCTCCTCAAATAAGAACCACTCCTCTTTACTTTCATTATTTTCTAATTTAGAACTGAGTTCTCTCTAGTAATATTTCCAGTGCCATAATCCTGAACTGCATAACACAGTGTAATATCCTAATACTTGTTATTTCCTTTATAGACTTCCAAGTCACTGCACTTATAAGGGTTCTCCCTGCAAAAATTGTGTGTGTATGTCCCTCTCAAACTTTGTATTAGTCCACTGTTACATCCTTAATTTGACTTTTTAATATTAGATTACTAGATAAATTGCATGTAACTCACAGAGTTCCTTGTTTTGTAATATCCTCCACTGCACATTTCCCTTCTTCTCCTCGTTCCTGATTACTTTGTTTTCAAATACTTCCCTACTAAAAAGAGACCAGAAGATAAGATTATGTACAGTATTTCTGTTTTACTAAGAATTCTGTCAATTACTGGGCACTGTGGTAACAAAGGTTTAATTGTCATTGCACAAAATGGAGAGGCCTAGATGTAAACACTGTGTAATGTCATGAATACGAGTATATGCCTGTTGAACATTCTTTCCCCTCCAGTTACTGAATTGTATGGGTGTTTTCATATGAACTTAATGTCAGCAGATGACTAACCAAAGACATTCTTTCTGCATTTGTTATATAGTGTACAGCATTTGTTTGTAGTATGAATGATTTGTGAGAAGCATTCACATGTGTGACATTACAATAGGTGATTCATACTTATTTCAGTTAATTTTAGTTTGATACACTGGCTGTCAGAGACTATTCTTAGCAAGTGTATTTTTGCAAAATCTATTGCAAGCTGTAAAACTTTCTGTCTACGGTAACATGTAGATGTTAACTCCTCAAATTTTCATGGTGGTTTTAGGAGACTTGTATTTTAATGTTTTGATTGATGACATTCAGCTCTCAATATTGTGGAGAAATTAGCAGTCTCAGTTTTTGGGATGAAGTGATGAGTCACATCTGGCTGTCAAATGAACGGATGGACCTGTACGTGGGGCCATCATTTGCATATGGTTTGTTGGTATTCACAAAGGATGTTTTACACAGAAGTTAAATAGTGCTCAAATTTTGTTCATTATGGTTAAATGTCACTAAGACAAGCAAGCTGACATGTTAATTGCACCTTTGTGTTATCTTGGTGGTGTTTTGAGATCTGATTGCTTCCTTTACGGTTAATTTCTAAAACTCTTGAGTTGAAGATGATTTCCTCTGGCATAGTGTTTCATTGCAATATGAATTACAATATGTCAAAAAGTAAAACTACAGAAATTGAATGAACTAAATTAGAAACATAAACTTATGTTTCTAACAATTCTCGATTGAATTTGTTGATTTTTTATTCCTGCTTTAGAGTTTTTTTAATTTCTAGATACAGATTACTATCTGAAGATGCCCTTGGAGACAAGTTGTCTTAGTATTTTAAGATCCCCAGGAATTGGACTCCCTGATTGTCTGTCATACCTTCAATTTATCTAGGATGTTCAGGATTTTAGAGCCAATTCAGCTGCAACTATCTCCATATTTGTCACAAACATAACTACCCTAGTAGAACTTCTGAACCTCATACATTTCTCTGTCTCAAAATTTGGTCACCCTGTTCTGGGATAGTATCTTCAAGTTTTATAGTTCTGTTTGCATGAAATGCATGAAAAGATTGTGTTATAGGGAGAAGTTGTCTGTCTGTCTGTCATGCATCTGCAGGTTTCAGCTCCAAAACTGTTGAATGAATTTTGATAAAAATATGTGTTGAGGTTATACTCAGAAAGCTGTTGTGCAATTTCAGTTTGATTCATGCTGATTGAATGTAAGCCTCACTTTACATCAGCTCACATTAAATTTTCTCAAAAACAACTTGGCATACAAAAAGTGGGTATGTAAGATAACATGTAAATCTCATTAAGATCTACAACATTTATTTGAAACATTTTTAATGTTATGTATACTTGACAAGAAACAATGGAAAATAGTTTTTAAGAATGCATTTTTCTAGTAATTATAATTTAGTGTTACATTTGTACAAGAATATTGGACCAAATTATTTATCTACTTTTGTATAAATTATAATTTAGTATCACAAAATATTCTGACTTCTTGTAAAAGTAACCTAAGATCAGACAAGAATATGGGTCACAAACATGTTGCACTTGTGATCCATATGAAAGTTATGAAGGATTACAATAGATTATGACAAATTTTAAGATAAATGTGACCGACCTTCTGACATAACACAAAGACAAGTTGTGCTTTTAATTTAGTTCAAAAGCAAGATGAAGAGAAACAGAAGTTTTAGGGAACTTGGACTTCACTTGCAGCGCAATGTATTTCTGTATGAAGTTTAGTGCTCATTATGTATCATAACTTCAATTTGTATGTGTGTGTTTGTGCGTGTGCTTGTGTATGGAACAGAATATTGTTACCTCAGTAATGTACCATTTTATATAAGTGTTTTACAGAGCTGATTTTTACAGCAGTGAAAGGTAAGGCATTATTATAGTCAACATTGTTGACCTCGGAACTTACATTTTACATTTCTGGCCTGGTTTTCCAGGAAAGGAAGGAACTATCATATTTTGACCAGTTTAAACTTTGCTATGGAAGACATTTAAGAGTTCCAAATACATGTTCACTTCTGTTGGGACTTAATACTTATGTTTATATTTGTCATTTTTCTGATGGTGAAATATAAAATCTAAAATTTAAAGGAACTTTTATAAACTTTGAAGATTATTGTATTTAATGCCAATTCTAATGTTAAAATAATGACTGCTTGCACAATATACAGGTTTCCTTGTCAAGATGAAATCCAAGTTATTTTATTTTCAGCATATTAAAGTTAACATGTTCATTGCCAGGAGTGTAATTGCTAGTATAAACTTGGGGGAAGGGGGAGGGAAGTTGGACACAACTAAACATTACACAAATTATTGGTTGAAGAATCAATTGTGTCCTTCAAACATATGTCGGAAACTGACACATATTTTGATTCATGAAAGCTTTTTCTATGATCTGTGAATATAAATGTTTAACAGTTGTACAAACCATTGTTGGCATTGAATGTGTTAGATCATATATAAGACCTTCTGCTATCATTTTCAGTGGCCCAACAGTTATAATTGTAGCATGTTATTTGATCAATACCAAATTATGGGAAAATTAATAATGGATGATTCCTTTGTTAAATTTTTGGCATATTCACTGGTTTTACCTTCATCTGTTTTCCTTGCAAAAAGATGTCTAACAGCACTATATCCACTTGAAAATGAGAGGCATGAAGGTCTTGTTTTGGGTAATATCTGTTTCTTATTAAATAAGAATTCCACTGGTCAGTATGAGTATTGTCATATATTATATCAATATTGTAATAAAACTGATTTATTTTGTAATTGTAAAGCATTCATGTTTCCCCAGTACATACCAAGTATCCAAATGATCCTGTAATAAGCTTTTATTATTCAGCATTTCAATACTTTTTTGATTTTACATGAGACCTGATTCTTAAAAAAAATGCAAACCCAGTTATCTGAAAGTATGTTATGTGAATAATTTCCTGTATTTTCCTTTCTCATTTCCTATGCACCTACTTGACCTTGCCCTTTTCCATGCAGCCAAACACCTGAATTTATAACTTGTGTTGGGCAAGGCCGTGGTCTAGGCAACACGGAGTTTCCCAGGTTTCTCCGTGGCATCCCAACAATTACTCCACTCACACACAGAAGAAGGCAATGGCAAACCACTTCTGGATTATCTGCCAAGAACGTATATGAACAGGTCCCAGTCCGAGAAAAGGATGGAAGGATCCTGTTCATATGGACCTGTCGTCAGACAGAACACTAAATAATAATAATAATAATAAGTCATCTCCATTAAAAGGAAAAGATGCTAGAGCACCACTTTCTTACAACTGCATGTTTTCAGAAGCAGGCAAATGGAGCAGCATGACCAGTCTTAATTTGTTGTTCCTGACTTTGCCTTCAAATAATATCAGTATACAAAAATAAGCATTTTTTTTTTTTGCACATTTCTGAAGCATTGGAAACTGTCAATTGTGTTTTAAAGCAAATAAGTACAAAAACTATAAAGATAAAATCGACCTGATAGGTATTAGGCCATATGATGTGTTGATTTCATACCATCTCTGTAGTATATTACACTTATGCTGCAATATAGCTGAATGTGTTTGGATAGGAGCAGGGTGCATATATGCGTGTCTGTTTATATATCTTTTATTTTATTGGAAGATGATAATGAAATACGGTTGTCTTAAGTATATGCAATCACTGACTTTTCCCATACCACAGGCGATTGACCAGAGAGTAGCATTGTACTATTACATGCGGGGCATGCAGAAATCCTGCTGGTAAGTGAAAAACCACACAATACATTGTATACGCATAAGATACAAACATAAAACTACTGAGTAGTTAAAAAATACTTCGATTTATACTAAGTATGATGGAAATCATGCTGTACACTACGAATAAATTGTGGAATTGTACATTTATTTCTTGACTCCTACATTATGTGTAAGTATCCGTTTGATAGAGAGAGGGAAATTTGAATCTCCCTTATTCCATGATGGCATAAAAGTTAAGGGATAGGCATGTGAAATTATACTATAAAAACTTTGTGTGAAAGTTGTTCGGGTTCTCTGTAGCAGTGGTTGAACTACATTACTGGTAACATTTAGTATACGTAACAATAGCCTCTGGTGATAGGAGCGCCGAAAAACCGCCAGAGGCCGCCAATCGAACAGTAGTAGTTTCACATAGATGTAAAAGTTTTGATGGTATTCTGGGTAGTAATGCCATGTATTGTAGGTAAATACAAACGTTTCGGAAAACATTGCCACCAACTTTAGGATTGAACGTATCATCAACATACATACCTTAAACTAACCTAACCAAAGGTAGCTTTACCTAAATGTAATATTACGTTCTTTGATTGGCGGCTGTGGTTTTCTGGCCGGGTTCTAGGTGCTGCCAAAGACACTCGTGAGTTCAATCCTTTACAGATAATTGTGCGTGCTGCTGTTCCGTTATGCCTACTGTTCGTGTCTCAAGAGCTATTCAACTGTGACAGTTACACAGACAACCTACAAAGTGGATAGAAATAAAGATCCAATTGCTTAGAGGGACATGAGGCTGATGGTTCCGTTTCGAAGTGCTGTCAGGTTTGCCCTTGACCATATATTCAACAGGATACACAACGCAATTCCAGGCGAATAATATGGCTTTATGCCAGAAAAGTTTATCCTTTAAGCCGCTAACTGAAATATATTAGTTTATTAATTCCTTAGCTCTAATGTAGGTTTCAAATTAGGATATCAGTTTGAGCAGGTAAAAATGATTATGACAGAGCTGGTTTGTAATATAATTTAATAACTTATTATTTTACAGTATATACAGTTGGATGATGTTTCATTTTTGAACACATTTGTTTGCATATAAACCAGTCCCATTCATTTAGTATTATATTTCTTAGTGCTAAATAAATAAGGAGAAATAGATGTTATATATACACTTCTTCAGATTTAATGTAATGACATGTTTGATTATAATAGTAAATCATTAATAGTATATCATCCAGTTCATTTGCTTCTGTAATATCATAAGTAAATTCATGTCTTTAGTTTGTATTATTCCTCTAGCAATGTGAATAATGTAAAATTTCCACATATCAAGTAGCTTGCGGCTCAGACACAGGCAATGTGTTTATAATGTTTATAATTTATTTGGCATCAGCCTTGAAGAAATTAAATAAACAAAGACATATTCAGAGGCTTTGTCACAGCATCAACTTGCTTGGAATATTGACACTTCTTGAGTCCTAGTGACAAGTTTATCTGTGAAATTGTGTTTACTACATGGAAAACACCTTCCATATGAATATTTTTTCTCCCCACCAAAGGATGTGTTTTACATTTTTGTGAAATTCATATGTTATTAAATGCTGTAACTAATGCCAATTATATTTTATTCAAACTCATTAAAAGTGTGGGCAACTCCTTCAGTGTTATAATTGGACAAAACAGTGCTGTGTTGTGGCACATGTTAACATGCCTCATGTCTATTCTTTCTTTCGCTGTAGTTGGGCATGGCAATAAAGGAAAAGCAGCAATGCACAGAGAAATTGTTCCTAGTCATGACATATAATGGATTGCATAATTGTTATTAGATGACCCACAGAAAGTTCATGTGTCTTAGGAAGAAGAAGATGCATGTACATTTTTGTCTGCAGTAGACAGCATGACAAAAAGGTTTACAGCAAAGCTTCATGCTGAAGCAACGCAGTGCAGTCAGAGTGTGTGCTTAGGTTGACACAGAAAGGATTAAATGTATCAGTGATCAGGCAGGTTTTAATTAATTAGAACTTCTTGGCTTCTGTGTTAATTATGAGGGTTTTGGGTGTTTTTGCAGGTAGTAGGATAAATTAACTGTTGGGCAAATTGCACCTGGTTTATTTTAGTCCTGCTGTAGGTTGCCAGACTGGAAATTTTCTTTCAAGGTAAGTTACCAGATTTTTCCATGAATATTATGACATGTTAGAATGTGATGTCTTTAGTGTTAATTCCAACTAATTTAGTTTCATGTTGTTCAGGTATCTTGATTATACTTCTTGCAGAAAATAGGCATGGGGGAAAAATTATTCTTTACAAATTCACAAATTGCAGCAGATTCTCTACACATCTCAGATGCTGAGATTTCAGCACCAGAATAATTGACAGTACATATTATTGCTGCTTAAATTTTTGTTTTATAAGTGGTAAGAATATGTTAGCACTGTAGCATTTTCTCTTCTGCATAAATGAATTGTGCTAAGTCATTTGTGTACAGCTTATGTATTAGAAAAATGTACTTTTTGGATTTGGAGTTCTGTCAGAGTCAGTTTATTATTAATGAATAACTCATTCTTAATAAAAGCTACATTGCATTTTATTAGCTCTTCCAAACCTTTCTCTGTTGCAACACTAACATTATCTTCTAGCTCTTAAATGAAGCTTTCAGGTACCTTTCTTCATTAGGAGACCATCCCCTGATGATTCTTGTTGACCTGTTTGAGATCCTCTGTGACAGTGATTTGGGTTGTGACCACTAGGCTTGCATCCATATTTAGAAATATCCCATTTAGTCCAGACTTTCACAATTTTTGTTCACAACATAGAAACCTGTATCTGGGTGCGATGTGTGTCATGTTATGGTATAACTGGCTGTCAGTCAAATTAAAAAGAAATTTTCAAACTTCTCTTATAGAATGTATTTGAGAGATAATTACATAAATTAATATTGGCATATTTTAGCTACATTTTAAACTACTAGTTCAAGATCTTTATCTCCAGACATTTTGAAGCTCAGCTAGAATTGTTATTATTTCTGTTTGTCTAATTGCATTGCATGCCATGTAGGAGATGGAAAGGAAATTTGAATTTTGAGTGACAGTTTTCTTATAACCCATCACAAGCACCATGCTGAGACAAATAGTTGCTATGTGAATGGGTAAGTCATACTGATGTTTTTAATATGCTGCGGAAGCCTAATTTTGGAATAAAAGGTGTTACATGTGACATTACCCGTGAGTATTGAAGATAGAGAGTTTGTGTTATGAACATCACCAGCAGCCCTTCTCATCACTTCCATCACTGCATTCCATGAAACCATTACATACCCTGGTGAGTGGTAGACACTCTCCCAGAGGGCACCGGTGACCCTTGCACTGTGTCTTGCTGTCTCGTAGTGAAGATAGTTGCTGCACCATTGCTGCCTGAAGCCAAGGAACATAATTTGCCACTTTGGTGTACACACCAGGTCTGTTGGCTCGTGCACAGCCATAGCCATTGCTAGTCACTCCATACAATGACCAGTGACCATCTTTTTCCTAAGGAAAGAATAAATTTTCTTAATCTCTGAGGGTTCAGCAACACAGATATGAAATACCCACCACTAAATATAGACTTACATCCTCACATCAAATTTTCCACAACCCCATTTTCCTACTATTCTCTCTCCTCTTTTTGAATATTCCAGGTAACCACATGAACTGGACAAAAACAGCGAGTGATGTCACAAATGTACAAATGTATGTTGGCTTAAACTGATGATGAAGCAAAATCAAAACTAATTCAAGAAGTGTTATGCACTGACCTGGCACATGAGAGGGCCTCCAGAGTCACCTAGACATGCATCTCGGCCACCGCGATCAAATCCTGCACAGAACATGTTGTCTGTGACACGGTACAGTGGCAGAAAGAGGGTTCGTTTGCGACACTCAGCTGTTGAGATGATTGGCAGCTGCACTTCTTGTAGCGTATCCGCTGAAATGAGAGTAGTGAGGCTCTGAGAATCAACAAAGTACAAGTTATATTGACATAAGTTGGGATAGGAATGGCATTTCACTAGCAGACACTATATGGGTGTGAAACGTGGTCTCTGATTTTGATAAAGAACATAGTTTACAGATGACTTACGGAAAATGCGTCCAACTTCAAAAAGTTGGCCCCACCCAACCACTGTGCAGAGTCTGCCATCACGAATGGGAACAGGGGGCAGACATACTGGTCGGACAAAGTCACTGAATTGCACAGGTTCCCGCAGTCGAAGCAATGAAATATCATTGAGGAAACCTGCATCTACATAGCCTGGGTGCAGTATGATGTGTGACACAGGGCGTAATTGTTCATATGGCGATGGGAAACTAGAACCCCTGCGCAGTGCACCCAGCCGTGCCACCCAGTAGTCATCCAGAGCACTGAAAGTAAGTCATTAACAAGTACAGTTTGGTTGATCTGTTATAAGAATTACAAATCAAGTTGGAGTTGTTCATAAGCATTTTCTTCCACTGTGTTAATGTTTTATAATTAGTCTGTTGTTCATGGTGGTTATATTTTCCCAGTATTAGGCCCTTTCACTTGGTATGGATATTGTGTAAATGGACCTTCCCATCTCAGTAGTGACCAGGTTAGTCATAATCTTATTTTGGGTGGAAAAGGATCCTGTTTGATCTCATTCTTTCATCATAGTCTTTCCAATTTCTTGTATAACATTATAGGAAACACATGCTAATTTTCATAAAATGTTATCACTGATTAAAATCCCATAATAATTGAATGGGCTGTATGAGGCTGTGGTTTGTACCTGTCCAAGAACTTCATGTCAAGCCTTTAAACAAACCATAAAATTTCAGAATCTGTGAATGGTTAATCGTGATAATACATCAAGTGTGATGTGTTTGTTTAACAATGGGAGAATCATGCAGTTGTTGTGTTTATTTCTTTGAAGTGCCTTTTAATATTTTGCCCCCACATATGCCTAGCTATCCTTATTTGTTCTCTTGTTTTGGGGTTACAACTTTGACCCTGGATACCTGGAGCACAGACTTTCTCATGAGATGATCTACTTGGAGAAACAGATCTTGTATTTTAAAAATGTATAGTTCATCAACTAATCAGTCTACATTAATGGTTTAAAGCCCGGTATGTATAGGAATGGTCCAGGTATTCATGAGTGTGAGATTTGAGGTTCTCATTCCAGTGTTCTGGATGGTAATGCTGTAAGAACTTGTAGGCATATACCACATATTTAACTACAAGTCCACAGACCATTACAACCCAGAAGACCAGCATCAGTATCTATTAGTAGTTATGCTTTGCAGTTTTCTTCAGTACCCATTTTTCAGTGGCACATTATTTTTTGTCAACACACCTGAATATATCATCAACTGACAAGATGTGTAACTAATTAAAGCAGTAAGATATGTCCTGTTCTTTTATGATTCCCATTGTTTTTCTTAAATTAACGACAGATGCTGTTGCTTACTGGTAGAAGCAGTGCCCTGCAGAGACCAACCAGCGGTCTGCGATGAGAGTGGCCCCACATTGGAATTCTCCTTCCTTGTAGAGTGCTGCCTGCCATGGCCAAGAACCTGGGGCAGCATTTCCTCCACCCACAATCCTAGAATGACGAGAACTGTTCTCAATGTTGGCACACATTCATGACAGAACAGTCTTTAGGGCCTAAGGTAGGCTGGTCTGTTTACTGATTTTCTGACATTACATAAATACTTTTACTTTGCTATTATTCTGTATTTATTGAGATATTAAATTCTAACTATGAGAAGCTCATACACATGGCAAAGATAATTTTAATAATTTTTGTAATCTGTGAAATATGTAACTACAAAGTAAAAGCTGTCCCTATCCATGTAGGCTCTTGGGGTGGGGGGAGAGGAGGTATAGCTCCTAGTTATTCTTAACCTCGGTATTAGATAAGGGTGAGAGTTCAGCATCACACCTCATTTCACAGTTTCCCTAGCCCTGCCGAATCTATCATATATTTTTGACAGAAGGAGAATAGAACAACATTGTTAAGAATTGGGAATTGGGTGAACTGGCTTAGGATTGTGTACCATGTTGTGATTTGGCATTAGTGGTTTAGATTTCCGAGCTTTAATATTGGCATGCTTTAGACCCGTCGTGACCTATGGAGCAGAGACATGGACCATGTCAGCCTCAGATGAGATTGCCCTCCGTATTTTAGAGCAGAAAGTTCTAAAGTGGATTTATGGCCCTGTGGGAAAGGGTGAAAGGTGGAGAATAAGATAGAATCGAGAACTGGAAGAGATCCTCAGAAGCGAAGACATTGTGAGATTTGCCATATGGAGCGGATAGATGAGGAAAAGTTGCTGCATGGGAGAATGGAGGGAAGAAGGAGATGTGGAAGGCCAAGGAAGAGATGGACTTGGAGGAGGACCTGAGGTCCATGCAGGCTGGAAGGTGGTAGGAGAAGCTGTGGCGAAGGGAAGAATGGGAGCACATTGTGAGGGAGGCCAAAGCCCACCAATGGCTGTAGCACCAAGGAAGAAGAAGAATATTGGCATGTTAGTGGCACCAGTAAATGTCATGCATGCTTACTTGGCCCACTGGTTAATGGCTTGAGGTCGAATGCCACATTGCAAGTCTCGACAGCTGATGTGGACCACTTCTTTTTGGTTGCATTGTGTGTCTTGGAATGAGAGGCTGGACCTGTGAATATAAATGTTTCATATTGGTGTCTTTATTTTTTGCATTTACTTACAGATATTATTGATAGTGCTGGAAGTTACCAAAACTGATATACAGTGAAACCTCGATGCATCGTTTTCGGCGGGGGTGGGAAATAAAAACGATGAATGCGGGAAAGCATTAAAAATTTAAAAAAAAACAATGTTTCTCTTTCAATGTTACTTCTTTTTACCAAAAAAGTCTTTAGTGGACAACTGGTTTGTCGAAACTTTACGTTTTAGACCAAACAGAGCACTTTCCACGTTCAAAATGTTTTCCTCGTCACGTTCACTAATATTAAGCGCATAAAAGAACGACTTCACTTTCGCCAATGCAG